TTTGCTTTCCAGCCGTTTTACGTTGCCTTCGAAGAAAAATTGGTAACTTTTCAGCTTCTTGTAGTTTGTGCCTTTTAGCACAATGTGGCGGTACTTGCGTGTAGACACGACAAGGTAATCGTACAGCTGAATAAAGTTCAGTTCTGGAAGCTGACGCAAGTCAGTAGACCATCCAAGAGCGGAGATTTGTCTTAGGATTTCGTCGTATTTGAAGTCGCCAGTGATTTCCACACTTTCCTGGGCGTTATCAGCCGGCGTTGTTACGTTCCGCATAAGCAAAGCGTACACTTTCAGCACCAAGTCCGCCTTTATTCCGCCGGCTCTTTCCGAATTACTCTTCAAAATATCCCTCAGATCTTTCACTGAGAGTTTCTGTATATCCTCAAGGGTCGTAATTTCCTTGTCTTTGTACTTTATGACCATTTTGATCGAAGAAAATAGCTACAGAGAGGAACGCGCGAGCAAAACAGCTGTGATTTCTCTTTGTTTGTGTTTCCCGGGTCAACGTTAGCCTCGATGTGGTGTTTGCGCGGTTGCTATTCCAAGATGGCGCTGGGAACTGTAAAAAGGGCTATTGCGGGCTTTACTGATCAGTGGACCACCTTCATGCATGTGCAAGGGGAGATCTTGCAAAGTTGAGATTTTAATTTGCACATAGAATGTGTGTGAAAAGTTCCTTATCCACGAAGCTAATATCTCAAAAACTGATCCAGTGACCCTACTTTTCATACAAAAAAATATACAACAGCAAAAGCGCAATGCATATGCAAAATTGTAAAAAAATTGTGGAGTGGAATTCCTCCAACTTGGAAATTTCCATTTTTCAAAATTTATTAAGCAAAATCTACTCCACAGAATTTTGATAATTTTCCCTGTGTTTTCTTCTGTGGCTAATAAAAAGATTTTTAGGGGAAAAAAATGGGGTCACCAGCTTAGTTTTTAAGATAGATGCAATCAATGGTAAAAAGAACAACCTTAATTTATGACTTAAACACAATGAAGGGTACAGTGGAGAGTTATGTTAAAAAATAGCACAGCCATTCAAAACAGTACAGTTCCAGTAGCCTGGAAAAATGGAGCTTAAGTTCTATAAGTCTCAAAAACACAGTAAACTGTTTTAAGCCAAATTAAAGGCTGCATGGGCATTTGTATGATACCAATAATTGTAGCATCACTTGATAAAAACTGGTAGTATTGATCCTTCATATTATAGCTGTTGGAAAAGGGCTGGAATTGCAACTGTTGCCAGCCACCATAAAGCAAAATGATCGATATCATACATGCAACCACTTCACCAAATTTTCAGTAATTTCACCGATTAAGTAAATACTAGGAAAATTCACTGTCAGTTTGGCTTTTTCTGGTGATGCTGACATCATAATATAGTGGAGTGTCTTTATATTTCCTTGAAGCATGCACAGATTATTAGAATTTCAGTCATCAGTGAAAATTGCAGGGAATCACAGTATTGCTTAACTACACAAGGCAAGTTCAAGTGGCATTTAATTACATTTTGCTACTTACTGTAATTTTGGAGTACCAAGTGGTTTGAGAAGAATACTTAAAAGTGATGCAAAGTTTTAGCTTTTTTCAACATGTAAAATGTGAAAGATCATACAATTTTCACTGCATTATTGATCAAAACATGAAGGCACAGTGGCCTCATGGTCTATACGCTTGTCTCTGGATCGAGAAGTCCGTGTTTGAGCCCTGGCCGAGGACACTGTGTTGTGTTCTTGGGCAGGACACTTAACTCTCACAGTGCCTCTCTCCACCCAGGAGTATAAATGGGTAGCGGTGAATTGTTGGGGAAACCTAACAAATTGCAGGGGAGTGACCTGCGATGGACTAGCATCCCATCCAGGGGGAGTAGAAAGACTCCTAGCTGTTTCATGCTACAGAAACCAGGATAAGCTCCAGCAGTTATCAGCTAGTAGGCTCCAAGGCTTCACTTTTTCTTCTTTCATTGATTAAAACAGATAAATTTAGTTTGAGTCATACCCAGTTCGCTCCTCTTTAGGCAAGGGTTTACTTTGAATCTCCAAACAATCTGGAGGGTATAGAGCACATTTTTGCAGTATGTGTTGTACAGGAACATTTTTTATAGGAACTTGCAAAAAAACCTGTAAAATTACCCTGTAAAAGTTAGACAACACAAAATTCCTGTACCCCAAAAACTAAACAACTACTCAATACAATCTTTCCATGCACACTTACCACTTCCTACTTTTCCAGCAATACTCTTGAGAGATGGTACAATACCACTCATTTTTTCTGAAATTTATCATTAAGATTTCACTAAACAAATACTGTGCAAATTCAAATTAAACATTACTATTTACAGTCATTGTATTAATCATATCTATAACAAAATTCTTGATTGTGATTGGTTCTCTGCACAGCTATTTGTCACACATTGACATGCAGGTGTCCAATAACAGGTATCCAATTTCAACAAGTTGTCATTCGATACCCATGTGATTTGCACGTGAATTATGCGTGCTTTAATGGCTGTTTTAAAATATTTCCTACAGTTATGGAATTAAGGTGCTACTCACTTTTTGCTCAAATGAATTAGTTTCAAAAGACTCTTTAATTTCAAAATTTTGTTATAATGATATGAGTATTTAGTAATTAGACCTTGTGTCGCACAATTCAGGAAGTACATGTAATTGTGCTTGTAATCTCAGTTAGCCTCATGCTAACCGCTCTTCTGATTTTGAAATTACTTGCCCAATTACTCCCCAGTGAATTGCACTCCACTCGGTCCATTAATTACATGTACTATAATAACATTTAAGGTTAGTAATTATTACTAACCTTAAATGTTCGAGCACTGTACACTGAAAAGAAATCTCTCAACCCAAGATTATGTATCAGTCAACTGAAAACTTTGACACCACCCTCGGCAAGCCATTCCCCAGAACCAAAGAGGTGTTCAAATGTCCCACCTTAAGGGCCCATTAACCGATCTTTTCGAGCCGTTGCCAAGGAAAATTTATTCTCATATAACCTCATCATTTTTAGTTAGTTCAGAGTCATTTCATTTGTTTTAACTTTTTCATGATTAGTAACACTAGTGATGACGTCATCAGGCCACGCCCATGGTCATGTGACT